AAAATGCTGCTTCAGAAATTATTAGAGTCAAAACCCAGTGATTTAGAATTTTGAATTAGGCTTGTTGCAAATGGACTAGTGAATGAACTGTAAAACCGGTTGGGATTTGCGGATTTAAGGACATTTACTTTGTATATTTGGACATGTGATGTTTAACAGTTTATAAAGCTCCAACTTCTTGACTCTCAACTTTTACTGTCATTAAATAATTGTCTGACCCCCCCACATAATTTTTCACAACTGTGGAAAAAATGCTTAAAATAAACACTGATATTATCTGTCAAAATAATATAAAAATACAAAGTGAATTCTGCCAAGCCTAAATATATCCTCAGTCCTAGACTCAGCGCCCACTGAGGCTGCAGAGATGCAGAGGGGAGGCTCCCTAACGCCCCTGCAAGGTTTGTCTAGCTTCCCTGGTGTCTGGCTCTGGATTGTGCTGTCCCTGAGAACAGCTGGAACAGGAGGCTGACAGCCCTCAGACGGTGGGCTGGCTCAGGTCCGAATGCCTGGCTCTTGCCTTGAGGGCTCTTCAGTTTTTAAAAACCTCCTCAGCCTTGGAATGGAAAAGTGACAGCTGTGGCCGAAGACCTGGTTTCGGTGTCGGAGATGTGAAAGGAAGCCATCAAGGAGTGCTTTGACTCCTTCCAGCCCTTCTTAAAGAGTTCAAGAAACTCCTGCCTAGTTTCCTCTGGTATAAATTGGGCCCAAGAGGCCATGTCAGACCAAAGGAATAGTCCTACTGGATCAGACCATCTAGCCCAGTAGCCTGTCTCTGACATGGGACACTGTAAAATGCTTCAGGAAGGTTAAGAAACCCAATGATGGATTATTACGGGATGACCTGTCCAGTGGGGAAGTTTCTGTTTCACTCTGCTCACTGGTTCTTCCTCCTTGTCTTCTGATCGGCAGAAACCACATTTGCCACTACCACATTGCAGGGTGGCCACGCCGCCACAAGTTTCTTTCCCTTTCTAAGAGGTGGTGACTTTGGCTTGGATGGACATCTCTTTCATGATGTTACTGAAGTGGGAGGCCCAGGTGGCCCACCCAGGGTAGACTACCCAAAGCGAGGCTTCTGTTCAAGAACAGTCCAAGGACGTAAATAAGGCTCAGATGAAGTCCCTGCTCCACTGTCTGGCTCTCTACGAGCAGCAGGAACTGAACTGGATGTACCTAGCTTTTCTCAGATCTAAGAACTCCATTGAACCAAACTCGGCAACAGTCAGAACAACAGCCCCTATAGCTGTGATGCTGGCACCAGTCTGACCTAGAACAGAGACTCAAATGGCACCAAAGGTGTGAAGGTTTCAAGGAAAGTGCCATAACCAACCACACAGATCCGGGAGGGAGGGATAGCTCAATGGTTTAAGCATTAGCTTGCTAAATTCAGGGTTGTGAGTTCAATCCTTGAGGGGGCCATTTGGGGACTGGTCCTGCTTTGAGCAGGGGGTTGGACTGGATACCTCCTGAGGTCCCTTCCAACCCTGATATTCTATACCTCTAATATTACTGTGGGGCAGGTCTCTGGCCTGTGCTGTGCAGGGGGTCAGACGAGATGATCACAGTGGTCCCTGCTGGCCTTGGAATCGATGAAGCAGGGAATAGTTCAGGCTCAACATGGATAATGAAATATGGACTCACAGTGGCTTGGCAGCTACTTTTCTAAAACCCCCCAGTTCACTCTCTTGTGAATCCATCCAATTATCCCCCCCCACACCTTGTGTCGGCCTGTGTGTTAATATAGCCCCCAGCGCGCTGGGGTTCGGATCAGCACCGGGGGCTCAGGGAGTGAATGTCATATGAATACTAAATAATAATGTAAAATGTTGACAAAGCTTCTGTATGCTTCCCATGCCAGGTAACTCATTGTCCCTGACTCAAGGGCTGGGCTCCCCAGACAGGATGTCTTGCTACGCCCCAGCCCCAGCCATGGACACACAAGCCATGTCAGCGTAAACACTGGTCAGGGTTTTTTTGTTTTTTTTACTGATCGGTGTGGCTGGATTCTGAGCATCTGTTTACACACTAGCATATACGGTAATAAGATTTTCTTCATTCTAATACTTAACTATCTATACAGCAGCATTAGGAAATAATACCACAGAAGTTCAAGTTTGGTTGGTTTTTTTTTAACAAAATCAGGAAATTCCACATACAAAAATGTCATTAAGGCGGATGGAAGGCAGCGCACAGCTATCTACTGATTGTCTCTGACTTTCTGCCGAAATGGCTGGCGCCTCCGGTGTGACGCTGGAAGAGTGCGATGCTCTGTGTCAGCTCAATGCAATACCGGGCTGGAAGCCCCAGTACCTGTGATATTTCAAACTGTTCCAGTACATGTCCTGCGGAGAACAATCCTGCACTGGCCTCCAGGAGAGGGACTGGACGGCATCCAGTGGATCATTTCTATTTCTAACCTTGATTATTATGATGATTCCTGGTTAGTGGCAGGGGACATTGTGACACCCTGGCACTCTCATATTCACCACTGTCATATAATTAGGCTGTTTTGTACAAAGTCTGCCTTGTGAGATATCCTTCTAAAAGTCTGGGTCTGTTGAACGTTAATATCCTGTTGGATTGTATGTGCTGTCATTGTATGTGAAGTTATGAAGTTTTGTTGTGTCTGTGTGTGTTACTGAAAGATGTTGTGAAGCTGGAAACGCCCACAACTAGCCTTTCACGTACAACAATGAAGAAGCTAGACCAGAGGTGAGCAAACTTTTTGGCCCAAGGGCCACATCTGGGTATGGCAATTGTATGGCGGGCCATGAATGCTCATGAAACTGGGGATTGGGGTGCGGGAGGGGGTGAGGGCTCTGGCTGGGGGTGCAGGCTCTGGGGTGGGGCCAGAAATGTGGAGTTCAGGGTACGGGAGGGAGCTCCGGGCTGGGGCAGAGGGTTGGGGAGCGGCGGGGAGGGCTCAGGCTGGGAGTGCGAGCTCTGTGGTGGGGCTGGGGATAAGGGGCTGGGATGGAGGGGTTCGGAAGGCAGGAGGGGGGTGAGGGCTGGGGCAGGGGGTTGGGGCGTGGGAGGGGGGTCAGGGGTGCAGGCTCCGGGTGGCGCTTACCTCAAGCAGCTCCCAGAAGTAACAGCATGTGCCCCCTCCGGCTCCTATGCGTGCTGCCCAGTCTGCAGGCGCCAACCATGCAGCTCCCATTGGCTGCAGTTCCTGGCCAATGGGAGCTGCGGGGGTGGCGCTTGGGGTGGGGGTAGAGTGTGGAACCCTCTGGCTGCCCCTATGCTTAGGAGCCGGAGGGGGAACATGCCGCTGCTTCCAGGAGCCGTGCGGAGCCACAGCACGCGTGGAGAGGGGCAAGCCCCCAACCCCACTCCCCAGCTGGAGTGTGGCAAGCCCCAGATCCTGCTCCCCGGTGGGAGCTCGAGGGCCGGATTAAAACATCTGAAGGGCCGGATGCGGCCCCCAGGCCATAGTTTGCCCACCCCTGAGCTAGACAGTGCTAATGGCCCATCAACAAAAACAATGGCCGTGGAAACGACTTGTCCTCACCAGGGAACACTTCAGACAGCCTATGGATAATGGCTGCCGTGGCTCATCAAGCATGCCAGGGCATGTGACTAGACCACATGATACTCAACTCCATTTTGGTATCTGTATTTTTCCACAAACTGGGCTGGGAACTTGGCTTGGAACAAAGGGTTCCCGCTCTATGGAAGAAACTATAAAAGGGGGAAGTCATCACCAAGGGGCCTCACTCTCTCTACAAACTCAATACCTGGAAACACTTTAGAAACAATGACCCAACTGGGGGAAGTGCTGGTCCCAGGCTGGAAGAGAGGATTCCTACCTGTGAATAGAACATCTACAAACTGCTTGTACTAGCTAACAGAGTGAGACACTGTTTGATTCAAATTCTATCTAGTATATTAGGCTTAGATTGCATTTTTTGTTTATTTGCTGGGTAATCTACTTAGATCTGTTTGCTATCACTTAAAATCACTTAAAATCTATCTTTCTGTAGCTAATAAACCTGTTTTATCTTAACCCGTGTGTCTTTGAGTGAAGTGTTAGGGAATCTCAGATCTGTATCAAAGTCTGCTGCGTATCTTCCCCATAGCGAGGGGGAAGCAGGCTAATTAATGAGCTTTCACCGTACAGACCCCTGACTGGTGCAGGACGGAATAATTCTGGGTTTATGCTCCAGTAGGGGGGCAAGGCTGGGGAGCTGGGAAATTGGCTGGCGCCTCCATTGCTGGTCCATGAGTGGCTCGGGTAAAGCACGCAGGTAACTCAGTTGGGGGTGTGGTGCCACCTGCTGTCGTGTTGGATGGTGATAGAGCCCAGAAGGGCTGGCTGTGTGTCATCAGCCAACGCAGTGTGAGAGGCCAACCCAGCTGATTAGTTAGGGGGCACAGCGGTTCCAACAGCTTCCAGGCTTCACCCTGGGGTACCTCCCATCACAGCCAAGTCAGCCTGTTTCCTGACTGGTGCAATGGGAAGCACACAGTTGCTTGCATGACTTCCCTGGCTGCACTGTCACGTCTGGAGAAGCTGGAGGGTTTACTGGAGGAGCCGAGACAGGAGGCAGATTCAGAGATTTAAGTAATGAGTAAGGGTAAGATTATGTCACGGAGCTCACGGATTCCATGACATACAGAGACCTATGTGACATTTTCCAGCCCTAGGGTGGTGGGCCAGAGCAGTCAGCTAGCAGGGGCCCTGGAGCTCTGAGCCGCTGTGGGCAGCGGGGGGCCCCCACAGCTCCGAGCCGCCGTGGGCAGTAGGTGCTGGACCCCTGCCTTTCTGCAGTGGTGCCCAGGCTCTCATGTCCTCCACTCAGGTTCAGTCCTCCCCTACCATATCAGCCCCCTTTTGTCATGGTTATTTTTAGTAAAAGCCCGGAACAGGTCATGGGCTTCTATGAATTTTTGTTTATAGCCCATGACCTGTCCATTACTTTTACTAAAAATAACCGTGACAGAATCTTACCCTTAGTAATGAGCACACCGAGCTCTGCTCAGCCTCGGGCGCTTACCTCAATCAGAAAGTCTCCCGTGCGAAGTCCTGCTTTCCAGGCCACACCTTCCACATCCACTGACTCCAGGTACTGGAGCGCTGGGAAGGCTGGCGTCGGGGTGAACTCCTCAATTGGAGTCTCCGCTGAAAGAGAAAGACCCAGCCCCAATTAGCAGTATGCAGCAGGGAGGCAACAGAACATTTGGTGACGTCTAGAAAAAAGCTCTCCAGGAGCTTAACTGGCTCAGAGACCAAGCAGAGGCGTCTCTACCGAGCACCTGACCCACTCCTCTTGCAGCATGGTGATTTAATGCTTATTTACGTACAGTCATTTCCGTGATGTTCATCACTGTAGAACCTACTAATGGCCCCCCAGAGCCACATTTACCTCACACACAGAGAGTCGCATTCATCCTCCACAAGATGCCCAGAGCCACTCACCCCAGTCCCTCTCCCAGAGCCACATACCTACAGAAAGAGGGTCCTGCTTACTTAGACTTTAACCACACGTCTGGCTAGGAAATATGGCCCCCAATACACATGAAATTTCCTCCCCACCAACCAACCAAAATCCCCTTCCAGCCTCCACCCCCTGCTCCCTTACATCCCACCCTCCACCCACCCCATCCGACTTCGCTGTCCAGCCACGGTGAGTCATTTTGCCTAGGAGGTACTGGGAACCATCACTAGGGGACGGGAGGGATTGGGGGGAAATACGGATTGCTCCCTTCTGTGGAGCAGTGTGGGGAGAAGGCGAGGGTATGCTGTCTGACCCCCATAAAGGAGTCTGTTGCAGGTATCCAGGAACAGAGAGAAAAATGCCACCTCCAGGAATGCCATAGGGCAGCAGTTCTCAAACTGTGGGTCAGGACCCCAAAGTGGGCCATGACTCCATTTTAATGGGGTCACCAGGGCTGGCCTTGCCGGTGCTGAAGCCAAAGCCCGAGCCCCACCGCCCAGGGCCAAAACGGAAGCCCCATCAACTGGGGCTGAAGCCGAAGCCCGAGGGCTTCAGCCCTAGGGGATGGGGCTCAGGTTACAGGCCACCTGCCTGGAGCAGAATCCTTTGGGCTTTGCCCCCCCACCCCACCCAGGGTGGCAGGTCTCGGGCAGGCTCAGGCTTCAGTCCCCTCTCCTGGGGTCGTGTAGTAATTTTTGTTGTCAGAAGGGGGTTGCGGTGCAGTGAAGTTTGAGAACCTGCCATAGGGTTTACAGGCAGCAAAGGCCTTGGCTGGGCTGCTGCTGCCCGCCTCGCTGGGATCTAGGTCCCTGATGGAAAAACAGGGGCTTGCCATAGCTGGACCGCTCCTCCTGGGCTCTGGCTGCTGCTGGTGCAGTCTATGGCTGCCAGGGGCTATCCCTGACTCTGGGGGAATTTCTTTCTCCCGTGGCTGGGGACAAGATTGGCACATAGGAACGTTAGACATAGGGCTGGAAGGGATCTTCCCATCCCGTCTGTCACAGGCAGCCCATCATACCATCCCATTCATAAACCTGCCTTAAAAATAGCTAGGCCTTTTGCCCCCCCCCCCCCTCCAGTGGGAGGCTGTTCCAGAGCCTCCCTCCGATACGGTACGGTACCAACCCCCTGACCCCCCCCAAATGTTCCGTGACTAGAGCCCTGCGCGGATACAAATTTATATCCATGGATGCAGATATCCGCGGATAGAAATCGGTAGCTGTTGAACCGCAGGGCTCTCCCGGGAACTGCAGTGGTGAAAGGAGCAGAACGTGGGGCCGCCGCTCCCAGGAGCCAGTGCCCCTCGCCAGCAGCTCCTCCGGAGCGGCTGTACCGCCTCCAGCCCCGCCCCCAGTCCTGTCCTCCGGCGGGGCTGTACAGACCCCAGACATAACACTTATGATACCGACATAAGCGTGTAATGCAGACCAGGGCTCAGATCCAGGTTGATATTCTCTGTGAAGACACAGGCTGCCCCTTCATTCTGTCAGTGAAGGAAAAGAGCAGCTGAGGGACACCAAACAGTCTAGACCTGTCCAAGGAAAAGGCTAATGCCTTGTGGGCATCCGAAGTACAGGGGCTCTCTTCATCCTCATGACAGTGAAGCTTTAGAGAAAAGGCTGGTAAGTAGATAGACTGATTAAGGTGGGAATCCAAAACCACCGTAATCAGAAATAAACCCTGTCCTTAAAGACAACTGCACCCTGGGGGTCTGCAACTAATGCTCATAGTTCTCCCAGCCTCTTACTGGTGACTGGGAATACTACCTTCAGTAGGAGATGCAATAATAAACAAGTAGCCATAGGCTCAAAAGGACGACCTATTAACACTGACAAAACCAAATTTAAGTCCCAAAGGGGTGTGGGATCCCTCATAAGTGGAAAGTCCTTTTCCCTTTAGGGGAAGTAAATACTCCAGTATAAGCGAAGGAGAAGTCTGCATAAGAGGTGTATCCCACAACTAGGACCATACAGAGAAACATCTCCACTTCATCATGTAAATATATCTAATGGATGGTTTCCTAAGAGAATGTCCCGAAACTCTAGGAAACACTCAGGCTCTTGAGCTGACAACCACTGAGCATCCCAACTGTGAGATGAGGGCTGGGCGGGGTGGCGTGCATCATCTGGCCATAGTTCGGTGAAATTATATCAGTGACTTGAGGCAGTGTTCTAGGGGCCTTGAGGCAGAGTCTCAGGAGGTCCAAGGACCAATGCTGATGTGAGTAGGCTGGTGCTGTCAGAATCAGAATGGCATAATCCTGTTTGAGTTACACAAAACTCCTGGGAGGAAAAGCATACAGCAGCCTGCCCTTCCACAGGAGAAGGAATGCGTGTGAGGTAGACCCTGGGCTGTGATCTGACCTGGAACAGAGCAGGTGACACTTCCTCTTCAGTCACAGAGCAGAAAGCTAGCTCTGGCATCTGCCAAGCCTGGAGGATAGACTTGACTGCATCCATCTTGAGGGACCATTTGTGATTCCTGCTGCATGTTCTGCTGAGCTGATCTGCCAGACAGTTCTGAACACCTGGGAGGTGTGAGGCTTTGAGGGTCATGGTATTTCAGAAGCAAAAATCCCAGAGCTCTATAGTTTCCTGGCAAAGGTGATCTGACCTGGCACCTCCCTGTCTGTTCAAGCAGAACATAGTAGCAGCGTTGTCTGTGAGGGCTTGCACAGTACAGCCTTTGATGTGTGGCTCCACCTGATATGCCAGATGAATCCCTCAAAGTTCTTGAACATTTATGTGCACAGAGAGTTCTTGATCTGTCCAAAGTCTGAAGGTCTGTCCAGATGAGCTCCCTGGCCTAGGGACAAAGCATCTGTAAGCAGAGTCATGTAGGGCAGAGTCAGGGAAAATGAGACCCCTTTGCATGCGCTAGCAGGTCCATCCACCAATCTAGGGAAGACAAGACACTTGCAGCAAGTGCATCAGCATGTCCAGTAGGTGACGAGATGGACAGTAAGCAAACTCCAACCACCCTGCCTCTGAGGTGAAGTCTGGCATGTCATGCAAGCTGCCATAGGTCCTAGAAGTCTCAGGCAATTCCTTACCGTTGTACAAGGATGGGCCTTGAGACCTTTGCGTAGGTCCAATCTTGCCTGAAATCTGGCCGGGAGCAAGTATACCTTCACCGAACTGGAGTAAAATCAATTCTCTGCACAGGATGCAGTAATGACTTGCCCTTGTTGATTAACTGGCCCCAAGGCATCAACAAGGGATTGGACTGTCTTGATGCAGACCTACACCTGGTACGTGGATTGTCCTCATATCAACCAATCATCCAGGTACAGAAATACTTGGATGCCTACCCTGTGAGAGGTAGCACCACCCTGCCATACGCTTTGTGAGGACTCGAGGGGCTGAGGACAGACCCAACATGACTGTGAATTGGACATCTGCCATAAGGAACCTTAAAATTGAGGGCAGCATACCAATCGTCAGGATCTAGGGACAGGACAACAGAAACCGGGTAATCATGCACAACTTTCTCTTTGTTCTGTATTTGTTCAGGTTTCGCAGATCGAGAATAGGTCTGAGGCCTCCCTTGGACTTTGGAACGGGAAAATCCCAGGAATAAAATCCCTTCCCCCAGTGCTGAGGAGGTACCGGTTCTATAGCCTCTGATTGCAAAGAGACTGCACTTCTGGAATGAGAGCAGGCCTGTGAGATCAGTCCCTGAAAAGGGACAGGGAAGTGGGAGGCGTGGGGGAACAGTGACAAGCTGCAGGACAGAACCCAAACCCAAGAATCAGTTGTAATATGGCTCCAAGCACCTAGCAAGCGGGACAACCTGCTGCCAGACGGGGGGAGAGAGTGTCCTGTCCATGGGAGTGGCGTGCAGCTTCGGATGGAAGACCGGGAGCTGGATAGACGGCTTGAGGTGGAATTTGGAGACTACCTTCGGGAGAAACGTAGGGTGAAGGTGCATGGAGAATTTGTCCTTATGGAAGATGCTATACGGGAGGTCTGCCATCATGGCCGCCAATTCGCTGACCTGCCGAGCGGAAGTGATGGCCACAAGGAAGAGGCCCTTCATGGACAGGGTAAGAGGAAGCATGTGGCCAGTGGTTCGAAGGGGGGCCTGGTGAGGGCGGATAGCACAAGATTAAGGCCCGGGGGGGGTGGGGGGGGAAGGCGTAGGGGTAAGGACCGGCAGGAAGCAGTTCATCTGGCCCTTTAGAAAGCGGGTAGTGGCAGGGTGGGTAAACAGCGACCCTCCGTGCAGTGGGGGAAGGAAGGCACTGGGTGCTGCAAGGTGAACACGTATCAAGCTAAGTACGAGGTCCGAGTGCTCAAGCTCCAGGAGGTACTCTAGGATGACAGGCACGGAGACGTCCCTCTGAGGAAGGTGGTGGCATTCAGCCCAAGAGGTGAAGCGCTTCCACTTTGCGACATACCACGCCCATGGGGAGTCTCGTCTGCTGTGTGTCAGTATATGGCGGACGGGTGATGAGCAGGCATTGTTAACCTGCGAGCCGCATCCAAGAACCAGGCCGTCAGCTGGAGCGGGCCTGGGCTGGGGTGTCGAACGTGGCTGTGTTCCTAGGTGAGAGATCCAGCAGGATGGGGAGGCTTATCGGTGGACAAGGGACAGTCTGAGTAGATTGGGAAACCGGGACTGTCGGGGACATCATGGGGCTATCAAGATGATTGTGGCCCGGTCCCAGCGGATCTTGCGCAGC